CATCTGATTGGCTGAAATGTACTACTACAGCTCTTTTTTCTCCCACTGCTACACCATCACACTGATGTGGCACACACAAGTGGTACTAAATCTGTCTCCCTGCTGTGCTGGAATGAACAACAGAAGCTGCTATTGCTGTTTCTCCTCAGTAAAAGTGAGATCAGGATGTGTGTCTCTCCTGCTTTGAAAAAAAAACCCTAACTCATTCAATTTATTGTTAAGTATGATGCAAAATTGATGATGCTTGGGTCGGCGAGAACGGTCAGGTTTTTATTTTTTAATTTTTTGACATTTTCAAGAAATGTATTCTATTGTTCTTTGCTGAAAAATAAAGTGGTGTTAAGAGTAAGTCTCCTGAAATGGGTGTACTAAGCGCATGACTGTGCCGCTGTGGGCTGTCCAGTGCTCCTATTCTTAGAAGAACATTACCAGCCCACAACTGGACCTGTCTGGTTTTCACACACACACACACACCTGGGTCACTTGTGACTCTCATGCAGTACATTCTGTAAGCGAGGAAGGAGGAGGGACACATATCTAGGGTGACTCACATTCATAAACCCTTAACCAAGAAGTTCACTTGACATAACAGCGGCCTCAATCAGACTCAGCAGTGCAGAACAACAACATGTAATCCGGTTAATCTCCCTGGTTGTTTCAGAAAAGCACAGTCCCCCACCGCTGGAAAATGTTTCCAATTTATCCCTGGCAGCCAAGATACTTGAACTTTTTCTTTCATAAAATGACTTAATACTGATCTCCAGCTTTGCTAACTATGAGCGATTTGACAGGTTTTTGCCTCTGTGGGTCAATTCATGGTGTATGATTTATGGTCCTGAATTTGCCTGGAACTACATTTATGATGAACACTACTGCAGAGTGACTCACTGTATACAGAGTTGTGTGAGCCAAAAGGTTCAAAGAATGTGTGACCTTTGAATTTAAAATAAGAATCATTACCACATTTGCAATAACGACACACAGACCTGCCTAAATATTTATAATTTACACATTTACAATTTACAATTTTTTTAGCTTCAACACCTTCTTTTGGTGTTTGAGGGTGATGGAGCTATGGTGAAAACATTTTTCAAACTGTTTACTGGGATTCAAGCTTATATAAATGCTGATGACAGAAAGATGACTACAATCTCACTGTGACTATAGGTCTGAGGACCAGAGAGGACAATGGGAGTGGTAGCAGGCAGCCAATAAGAACATCAAACAGCTAACCAGAATGTCAGCTGGCCAATGGGATCCCCCATCATTGATGTGCAAGGTGTCCTGCCCATTTCCTGTTTCCATGGTGCTCAGTGACAGGAGCGTCACGGTAACCACTGTGAAACAATGCACAATGGCGTAGACACACCCTCTCATTAGCGGCGTCCACAAAGGCTGGCACCATTATATAGTCTGACACGGATACTGACACGCATGCGCACACTCACACACACACACGTGCACACACAAAACAAACTCGTACCACACTCAAGAGTACAACACAAACACACTCACACACAGAGTAGCCCCCTGGCCTGACTAACTAGGCAGCAGTTGTAACATTCTGTCGCCCAGAATAGTGGAGGTCCATCAGTGTACATGCTAACCCCGCCTGACACATTCACCCTCTCACATCTTTGCCCCCGTTTCTCCATCCAGTTCACACAAGACCAAACTGGCTGGCTTGTTGACCAGATGCATGCACAGTCTGCTTTTGCCACTGGCTATTGAAATACAGATTGCTGTACTCCAACATTTCAAGGAAAGGCGCTGATCAGATTAGAGGCTGGAAATAGAGCACAGCGTTTCACGAGCAATTATCAAATGACAATGACAGCTGTCAGGGCACTGTGAACTACCACAGTATCATCATAATATCTTCAAGCTATGAGATAAAAGTAGCTGGATTTGTATTTTTTTGTTTTTTTACCCTTTGTAGTTTTGTAGCTTTCCCATTGTTTTACATTCATAGAGCCTCTTCCCACACACTTTGGTCAATGGACAGATTCGTCTAGATTATGCTTTTTCCTTGCTGATGTTTGTTTTTCCAGCTTGTTTATGATCTACTGTCTAAGTTCACTGGGAGTCACTCTGGGTCAGACAGTCAGAGAACCTGGTATGTCTGAAGTAACAGAAGGTCTGAAGTGTGATACTGTGAACCGGGATGCCATGATGACAGAGCAATCAACCAGCTTGTCAGTTTGGAAACGCTGCGCAAAGCTTCTGGCAGACACTGATCTTCAAATGACCAATCACATCATTACATTTTCCTGTGCTGTAAATTTTTGTTTTTAAGGAATAGTTCAATATTTTGGGAAATATGCTTATTTGCTTTCTTTAGAGTTAGATGAGAAGATCATCTCCTTTAAATTACATTACCACTAGGACAAGGACATGGTATAGTATAGCATAAATACGGCAAACTGATGCGAATGCGGAAGTCCCATTAACCTGCATTCTATCGAACTGTTTGCGAAAAGAAGTCCAGCTCCATTAGAAATAATGGTAAAATTACCCCACTTCTCAGCTGATTTATTACCTCAGTAAACACTTTCCTAATGAGTTTATGGTCTCAATCACTAGTCTTCTTCAATACAGCATGATTTTTTAAATAATGAAGACTGTGATTCTTACTGCTGAATCATTAATAACTGCAAGCATGTAGGCCTGGGGCTGACTGTGAAAGTAAAAGGCATGTATAATAATAATAATAATAATAATAATAATAATTAGGCTATTATTATTATCATATGCAGCAATGTTGCTACAATTACGCTTCACACAACAATTTAGAAAGTTGCGTGGTGCTGCGGAGAGCCCCCAGCTGCAGTAGTAGGCCTGCATGGACCATTTTTAATATTCATCCAGCCAGAGGGAACGATCACGAACCATTCACAGCGTATCGGCCATACAAGCGACACAACCCGTACCGGCGAGGGAGTGGGGCGGTTGAGCATAAAGGGCCAGGAGATCGTGGAGCGATGATCGTTCCCTCTGGCTGGATGAAGTCTGATGCTCCGCATGATGATAGAGAAATATAGAGATTAATGGCAATACAGCATGCTATCATTATTTTAGAGACCCCCAAAATAATCAAATCATGCTTTTAGGGGAGCTGATGTCTTATTAAAGTGAACTAAGCTCCTGGCTCCCCCGTATTTCGCACCCTGGGCAGGAGTCTCTCAAATCGGTTGTCAGACAACCTGTTCCTCCTCGGAGTCAGCACAAGACTGCCCAGGCTAAAGAGCCTCGCCACAGGCGCACTAGAGGGTATTGCTGTCCTTTCACGAAACAATGTGAAGTAACATCTCCATCCCTTGAAAGACTTCTTTGGCAGCTCTGCCATTTCTGCGTCCTCATGAACTGGCGTTGAAGTCAAAAGTGAGGTCAGACGCATGAAAAGGGACGTTTGATTTATTTTTCTCTCCTACCGTTATGCAGATAGTTCAAGAACCAGATAGTTCAAGAACCAGTTCGTAAGTAATGCGATGATTTTGTTATAAGTAACTGTAATATGATTACTGAAGTTATCAATAGTAATGCGTTGCGTTACAGACAAAAGTAATCTGATTACAGTAACGCATTACCCCCAACACTGGTCGTTACCAACACTACCAACAAATGACAGTTAAGGTGAATTACAGATGCACCTCGAATCTCTCCAGAATCGCATACCCCACCTTTAACAGTTTGAGTCAAGCATACAGAGCCTGCATTATATCTGTGTTTACTGTCATTGTGCTTTATTATCATAATGTGAAGCTCTGGCAAGCAGCGGTGCTGATACAGGCGGATTGTGAGCTATAGTGTCTCCGGTAAACACACCAACCTCTTCCGTGTGATAAACAATGCTGGTCTGTTATGCAGGCTGTCTGTATATACACACACTTATCTCCTGAGCACTAATTAATCAAAACGTGGGAACACATTTTTGTTTCTCTCTATGGCTACTCCAGTGCTCCGTACACAAAGACTGGAAACAAAGATGGAAACAACTAGCCTGGCTCTGTCCAAAGGTAACAAAATCCATCTAGTAGCACTTCTAAAGCTCATTAATTAACAAGTTGTATCTTGTTTGTTCAATTTGTACAAAAAGTAAGGTGAAAAAACAAGTTATGTTTGTTTGTAAGGTGTCAAATATTTCTTGGCCGTGAATAGTGACTTCATGGAGTCGTGTTGTCATGTGCTGTGAGGTTGCCAGACTGTTTTTGCCAGTCTTTATGTTAAGCTTAGAGTCACCTGGACAGCTATGAGAATGGTTTGAATGAGTTTTCAGTGTTTCACAAAACTATTTCCTGTAAGAGAACTGTTTGGAACATGGTTATTTGCTCTTTAGGAAGTCGGCAATGTACCAACCACACAAAATGTAAATGTAACCTAATCAACCTAAAGTGCAACAACATTGTTGTTAAATTCAGAATCACCACAATCATCAGAGACGTAACAAAATAGTGATTGTGCCTACACCCAGTTCATAAAAGCTTTTACATTTGCTGTTTAATTGCTGCATTCCTGAAGTGGAAGGTCAGACAAACTCAACTTACACCTCAGCTCTTCTCCTCTCACAAATTTCAAGACATGCTGAAAATGAAACGTGAAGTGTGTTTGGAAGAACTGAACATGTAACACTGCACAAAGACTGCAGTGAGTTCTGTCATGTTTCACAAGATGACTGAATGCATTTCAGAAGCCTCACAGGGAAGGAATGAGTTTGTTACTTGACATCTGGCTTAAAGAGTCACTTTGTGACTTTAAATTAAAAGTCTTTGCTGTGGAAAAATCCTCCAGTGTGAAGGGGGACTTCAGGTCTTTTAAGTTTCAGTTTGTTTCATCAATAGAAAATTTAGAGGAAAACGACGAAGAAGAAGGGTTTCGGATCCACTGACTGACAATTCGAAACATCCCAGCCAAGCACCAAATATAGACTAAACAAAGGAACTAATTAATCATGACTGAAACACATCTGGACTTCAGAGGCCTTGGGGCTGTTTGTAACTCACAGACACAGGTGGTGGCGAGGAGTCTGGTGGCAATGAACGGAGGCAGGCAATTTGGGAAGGCCGGCTGCAAGACGTAATTGGAGAAGGTGAGCGCTATGACAGCCAGCGTGGTCGGATACATGATGAGGACGGCACTCCATAATAACAGGAAGCTACAGGATGAAGAGACAAAACAAGACAGTGTTTTATGTGAGAGTAAAAATGACTCTTTCTTTTAACCCAAGATTTATGGGGAAAAGTTGCTGCTACAAGCTGTGGTAGAGGTTCCCACTGCTATATTTCAGTTGCATCCTGACTTCGCAAACATGATTATGTTAGGAGCTGCCCAGCACCTCTACAGTTTCTGCAGACACAAATTCGCACAAATACGTAGTCTGTGGGCACCAGGAGCACTATGATTCAACGTTAGTAACGCAAGGCGAAAATTCTCTTTGTGTTTGGTCTGAGAAAACTTAAACTTACTGATAATAATTGATTAGTGTTGTTCTTTGCTACCTAACGCTGGCCATATTTAATGGCGTCTGAGGATGAAATCAGAACTTTGTTATATTATTATTACCTACTGCATCCCTTTGGACCCACAGGCATGCACAGTGCAGGGCACATTTGACCTTCTCAGACTTACAGTACTGCTCTATGATCAGCTGACATGTCACATGACCACATAAAAGTCACAAGACCTTCAGAGCTGATTGGTTCCAGAGAGGCCATCCTATTGAGCCAACCCTCTTGTGTAGAGACTCTGGACTGCTGCAGTGTAATCCACAAATAGTGACAAGTACAATTGCTGGAAACTAAACACAGTCCACATGAAGTGTCTCAAAACCTGAGATGTGGCTAACTGCCGTTGTAGTTTAGGCACAGCAGTGTTAAAACGTAAAAACGTAAAACAGTACTTACCCCACTAGCCCTCCAAAGATTTCTGTCACATATGAATAGTCTCCTCCAGACTTTGGGATGGTGACACCCAGTTCAGCATAGCACATAGACCCAAGGGCACAGATCCCCCCTCCACAAACCCAGACGATGAGTGACAGCCCCACTGAGCCTGCATGCTCCAACACTCCTTTAGGTGAAATGAATATTCCAGAGCCAATGATGTTGCCTAAGGAGAGGAGCAAAGATTAAACTTATCACACTTGCCTAACTGATAATTGAATATTTAACTACTCAGCTACACGGAGAGCACAACCTTCAGCAAACCAAGTCTACCTACTATTACACACAAAGCCATTTTTCAAAACCAACAATTGCTATATATGTCAGAGGTTGCACGCCTCTGGAGCAACGAGGGGTTAAGTGACTTGCTCAGGGACCACCCCAAACCGTCTTAACCATCGGAATATTTAGATTTAGATATTTCTGATTTTTCTAGTTACGTAATGAGTTATTTTATTTGAGGCTTGTTGATCCATATACAGGTTTTTGGAGGCACCAAAAAACTCAACCGTGTGAAAACAAAACCAGCTTGGACAAAGAAAAAACACAGCAGCAAAGAAATCCTAAGACGCTTCTTAAAACATTCCCCACCATGTGAATAAAATCTTCCTTTCAACTGATTTTTTATTTCATTGAGTAACTGCAATGTCCAAAGAACACCGTATCATTAACATTATGTCTATCATGTGGTGTAATATATTTTGGACTATTTGGCATTTAGTTGACTCTGGTATCTGCAGTAAAAAACAATAAAAGGTAACAATAGGTATCAAGCCCAGACACACACTGGTAAAGAAGTCAAAGCTCCTTAACAGTAGATATTGCAACGTTTGTTTATGTTGGGTGACAAAGAAGTCTAGCGGAAAGAAAGAGGGCACAGGTGGAAAGAACAGTACAGTTGTTAAAGCTCTCTCTCTTCTCCCTTCTCTTTAAAACGGCAAACATGTTTTGGTATTATAGTCATCATTTGGTAATGAGTGTAGCTGGATGTAGAGATGTGTGTACATCAGCACAGTCTGATCAGGTTGCAGCTCTGTTCTGTCACCTCACTGCTGTGTTTCATTAAAGAAAAGGACAACCTGGCTACAGGCCTTCTTGTTTACTTAATTTTCGGATTCTGTAGTCAGATGATTGCATAGTATAATAAAATAGTGAAAAGTCAACCAGAGACAACAATTATCTTATGATTTTTTGGTCATCAGTAATCAGTCATTGTGTGTTTTGATCCAGGCCTACTGAACTCAATGCCCTGTCTATTTCAAACACACATCTAGGAAAAAGTTCGTTTTGGGATATAGCCAACATCTTCCTTATAGAAAATAGCCCAAATGGTACAAAATGTTACCCAAAAAAAATGTCCCTGCTAAATAAATTCAAAAGTAGCCCAACTGGGCAGAAAACCACTTAATCTGGCAACACTGGCCACTTAAATAGCACACTGGTTACCAGAAGTGATTGCAAAGCGATCAATGACCTATATAATTGTGAAAGTACAACCATCTTTACAGCTGGAGCATAATTTTCCTGTTTATCCAGTTAGGCTGCTTGTATAATGTAAATAACACAGCAAACAACTACAGAAATAGAAGCAACACCTGTCCCACATATGTAATGACACAATCATAATTATATTAGATAGAAAGAACTGATTCAACTTGTGGAGTAGTGGAAACATGGCTCACTGGAGGTCCTGGTTCAGCTGTCCCCCAAACAGGGATAAACAGAGGTTCCCTGGTGGCTCATTTGGCTAAGACACATACTAATAAGCCACCATGTCATGAGTTCAAATACAGCCTGGTACTCATAAGTCATCAACCCCACAAAAAGAAAAAACAAAACAAACACACATAAGAAAGTAAGCAAACAGCAGCTGTCCAAGCAAAATGTGTTTTGCGTCTCTTTGGAGAACTTTGGGACAAAAGTAGTCTTCACAAAAAATGTAACTCTGTCCACTGTAAACATTTTAGCTGTTGAAACCCAGTGAGGCACGCCATAGCAGCTTCCCAGTTAGAGCAGCTCAGAATGCTCCATAATGATGCAGAGGGAGAGAGGAGGTCCGAACACTGCATTTATCATTGTCAGATTTGATTGTGGAGGCCGTGGTGAGATGCAGCGCCCGTTACATAAGGCCTATGTTGTGTTTACGTCATAAAGTTTGGCATCGCAGCTGAAAGCGTGAATCAGAGTCCTACTGACCCTCTCAGCCTCCCTGCACCATAGCTGAGAAATGTTCTGAAAATTACTGCTCAGATTAATCACCGTTTACACAAATCACGGAGAAGCCTGTGTGAAACCAAAACAGAACAAAATTGTTCTTATTTCAGTCAGAAGGCTTGTGTGAAATATTAAATATGAAATGGTGGTAGGTGCAGTGTCTTTCTGTGTCCTACCAGTATAAACAAGCATGAAGCAGGGAGCGAACATAACAGCCCTTCCCCCAGGGGAAACAATCTTCTTATAATTTATGGAGCGGTGGTGGGGCTGGGGTACTGGTTGAACTGGATGTGATTGTATGTTATATATTTACAAAGCAGTGTGACATAAGTACATTCAGTTTTGGTTAGAAATCATTATTTGTCATTTAATACATTTGGTTTATTGTCTAGCCCTAAATGTAAGCAAGTAGTAGCTGCACACAGAGAAGGAGCAGCCAATAATCCACCTTACTGGAGTGGGGTGTTAGATATGTGAGTAGGCTGTATCTGGTGGGTAGTCGCATGACTCATATTGTATATGTGTAGTGTACTAGCTGTACAGGCGTCAATCCATCTGTGCTTCACAGAAAATACTTGACAAGTAACCTGAGTTATTTGACCACTCATTTCACACTAACAATATTAACTTAGACAAAGTATGTAACCCTTAAAGCGCTCTGATATACTGGTAGGTCAAAGAATGCACGTTTCTCTAAAAAGCACAATAGACATGACCTTGGTTATAAAGATAAGCTATTAAAATGACAAAATTACAACTGAAAGTGCCACACTGCTGCCTTTTCCTTTGTAACCTTTTTCAGATATAAAAACTAAAATAATAAAAGGGCCTCCGTTGTTCTCTGTATATAAGTGGTTCTCGTAAGTTTGTATCAGCATTGTAAAAAAAACTACTGTGGAAACCTGAGTTCAACGGGCTACAATGTCCAACATCTGTGTTCAGTTTTCAGTCATCTTGGTTTGTTCCACTACTCCTACTCCACCGCCTACTTGTGGTGTAGGACCTTATAATTTGCAGATCTCCTCTGCAGTGGTACACTTGTGACTTATGGAAGTGATGGCAGTACTTTATGTCTTTACTGGCATATTCCTAATACTTCATGGCAGGTCCCTGGCACCAAAGATGCCCAGTTGAAGTCAGTACTGTCCCTGTTGTGCGACCATCTATAGGTGATTTACCGAGGCTGATTAATGACTGCTGGCAAAGCTAAAACATGAGATCGTATTTCACAAGCATGTTAAATTGTAACTTCAGAGTTCAATGCAGTGTGTGAGATATGTCAGGATGCCTATAGGTCTATACCTACAATATTTTATGCATTAAAGAAATAAATATTTTAAAAATAATTTACAAGCAACTACATGCGCCACAATTCAGCTTTCAATTAAAGCAAGACAATTTTCTTTCTTTAATTTCACAGAAGGTGCACTTAGCCCTCCCCCTTCACCTACAATGGAGGCAAATATATATTAAGTACTAAAAAGGGTAAACAGCCAGGAAGTTCTTCATGCAGGACATTATCTGTTTTCAATTTAGATTTGCAGCTTCAGCATAAGTCCTGGCTTTACGTTTAGAAAATGTCCTCGCTTCTATTATCAGTAACGATCAGACTGGTTTCACACGAGGAACATACTCATCTCATGATGTAAGAAAACTGGTCAGTGTTACTCAGCATTCATCAATGTACAGACCATGTTATTTCTCTTGACACTGAGAAAGCTTTTGATCAACTGGAATGACCCTACCTGTTCCTAAATTTGGACTGGGGCAGGACTTTACTAAATTACTTTAGATCTTGTATACTTTACCTCTCTGCTGTAATCACTAATAGGCTGTCCCTAGAGCCCACTGCTGTTTGCCTTGGCTATGGAACCCCTAGCTGATATCATTAGACAAGATGTGAGAAAGAAAGAAATCTCTTTAAATAACTGGCAGCACAATATCTTGCTTTATGCTGATGACATTTAGATTTTTCTAGACTCCCCAAAGACAGACTCGCTATCTCCTCTATAGAGTATCTGTTGGTAGATATTGTGCAGCTTAAATATAGTATCAGATGGCTTTATAAGATACTTTGCAGTCTCAAGACAGACAACTCTGATAAAGTTAAAGGTAAGTGGGAATCTGATCTGGGCACTATATATAACCAAAGGCCTGGAATGCCTTGTACAGCCAGCCTTCTAGTGTCCTAGCATCTAATTCAGCAAGGGAGAGGCAATTTAGGCTTATATTACTCCTGAAGCCAGACACAGAGTGAATCCAGATCTATCAAATCGCTGTACTAAATGTCAATTTGCTGTTGGTTCATATTTTCATTGTTTGCGAAGCTGCCCCTCATATCTGGTGATTTTGGACTACGGTTGTTTATTAATAACATTTTAAAGTGCCCTTTACATCTTGGTGCAAGGACTTGCCTGCTGGGACTAAATGATGAGTTACCCACTGATTTATGTAACAAAGACCTTTTGCATATTTTGTTGCGCAGAAATGTATGTATGTATGTATGTATGTATGTGGATCACTGATAAAGCTCCCACTCTAAATCAGTGGCTACATACTTTAACAAGCCTCATGGATTTTGAAGCATTCTCCGCAGCCTTAAAGGAAACCCCCTTTTATTCTAACAGATCTGGTACCCCTTCTTCTATTGGTTTATTGTCAGTGTATTGTTTTTTTTCCTGCTTTACAAAAACTTGAGTTTAATAACAAAATATGTTCAGAAGAAGAATATCAAATATAAAATATAAAAAGGTGATAACCTGCCTGGGTAGGGCTGGTTATTATTGTAGAAACAGGCATTTTTTGTTATATTTGTTGAAATCCTCTTTACCTCCCGACAGCAATTAATAAATTAAATTCTCTGACACAAAAATGAAAAACACTGGTATCTGTGGCTGAAATGATGGCCAACCTGCCTGTCTACCTGTGCGCCCATGCACTCATCGCACATGAAAATGTGTTTTTGGGGAAGTGGCTTTGCAGGGAGGCCTAAAAGGGAGAGTGGATTTTTCAGTGGGATACTTTCAAAAATTAGCTGTCCCTTACAGCAGAGCTGCACTACTCTAAAACTAGAGTTATATGTTAAAAATCCATAGTGTGCAATGAAAAAATCCCATTAATCAAACAAAGTCCAAGAACAAAATGTCTCACACAAAAACACACAATAACATTCATGTCATTCATCTACTTCCTGCTCTTGCCTCCACATATAAAGATGGTGGATAAGAGTTGTTGTAAGCTGGGCTTGGGGAATCCTCTGCATTAATGTTACATTATAATAGCACATAGCCTACTGCATAACCTGTTGAGTTTTCTCCTGTGGATGAGGCTGATTCAGCGGCTGCATAGAGCATGCCTATTGTACATTACCAGTTACAGGAAACAACACAGTTTCCTGTTTAAAAAAACTTAACGCAATGGCTGCATTTTATTCCAAATTTAAATATCCTGGCCTGCAGAACGAGTGAACTTTTAGTAACGTTATGGGCGATTTATAACAAGATGATTGCAAGGAACGTTAATTGCTGAGGTCTCAGGGAATCAAACCCCAAACCTTGGCAGTGTTACTGTGTTAACGCTCCACTGTGCCGCAGGACCACATGGAGGCTGCGTTTTGCCTCTCAAGTTCAACATGAGAAGATCCAGCCACGTATGCATCTCCATATTCAGATCACCCTGACTGATGCAACAGTTTCCACACAAAACCCCAAACCCTGCAGTACGAACTGGACCTAGACATCAGAGGTGGTCCGTGCGTGTACAAGCGACTCTTTCTGTGCGCATTTTGGCGGGTTTGTGCCATTTCTGAATGATAAATCAAGTGAATTTCCCTGCACTGTACTTACACTAGATCAGAACCCGAACAAAAACGGACCCCGTCTGTAGCTGACTCCTATTGTGTGCCATAAAACTTTTAACAGCGCACACCCGCCACGTTACAGCACTTAACCCGCCAGCCAGCCACTCACACGTTTCCCGGTTAACTTCTCCTTGTAGCTGAACTCACCGTATCGACCCGCTCTCCATTGATACACCACTCAAGACAAAAGCTGTCACACACTCACCAATGATAATAGCGCAAGCGCTCAGAAGTCCAATTTCTTTTTTAGAGTGACTCTGTCGCTCGTGGATGAGTTTTTATCCTTCTTCTTTTTCTCTTTGTCCTCCATTGCCTCCGCCTTTCAGATGTGCTTCTTGCTCGCCTCGGTCCGGTCCAGATACTGTAGACTGAACCACGCTCCGCTCTTAGGGCTGCCAGTCTAATCTACTGATGAACGAGGAGGACGTGCGCATGCGTACGGCCCAGCACTGAAGCCACTACCTTGTTTCAGGTATCTGAGGGTGTGACATGCCGGGATCTCACGTCTGAGACTTGAAGTACACAGAGGAGGATATGTTTACTTATCTTTAGCGTTATTTTATAACCATAACACCCAGCAACATCAAAATATAAATGTGTAGGCCTATGATTTTTCTCCCCTCAAAAACACACTGTAGGCCATTCGAAATTGCCTGAATCAGTTTAATGCTATTAATATTATCATTATTTTATTTTTAATGCTTTTGGACATGTACAAACTCCCCAGCTTTGCCACAGATATAACGAAATATTCCAAAAGTGACAGGTTGTCCCTCTTTGGGGTTAACCCAGTTTTATATGTGGACAACAGGATTCAGGGGAGTCTGATTTCCCTCCTGGCTACTGTAATTTGAGTTCTGTTCATTCTTTTGCAGTGGAGGAAGGTAAACAGTGTGGCCTACTGTTCTACACCCTCTCCAACTCAGGATTACTTTAGTTAACCGTCAAATGCTCTTAACTTATTTACTACTGGTTCCTTGTGGTGTTGTGCAAGTGCATTCTGTTGACTCACTGTATATCTTAAGAAGACAAACATGAAATCACAGACATTACAGCAAATGTCACTGACATGCTGTGTGATGAATACAGAAACAAATATTGTGAGTGAGTTAAATCATTAAAATACAAAGCAATCAAAAATAATTTTGTGAACACAAACACTCAGGAATATGGACAGAACAGGCTATGTGGTTCGTCTTGTAAAAAATGTAAATGGCAAATAACATTCCTTACACATAATTATTTTCTGTCAATCAGAAAAGAGCAAAAAGTAATACCTAGACAACATGCCTTTCACATTTTGGCAGGTCCTAGAAAAATCACAGGTGTAAATAATAAAATTAGTGATGGCTGAATTTCATTTAGCTGCTTAAGTTTCAGGATGATGGTATTGTGCACTCTGGCTCACTGTTGCACTGTCACGTCTTCCTGGGACACTTGAATAGAATGGGGCCATCGTTAATGTTATAAGTATCACCTGTGCCAAGTCAAAATGTCTGCTGTGAAAAAGAAAATCTAGGGCAGGCTTATCTCAGTGGTCCATATCTGAACAATCACCCTGGCAAGGACAAGGGTTCACAACAATGAATTAGCAGAGGAAATTAAAGGTGCTGCACAGCCACATTGGTGTTTTCACTAACTATGTCTGATTAGATATCTTTTTACTCTGCGTTCCAGTCAAAGTTGGAGGTCAGAATTTCCCAGTGGAAATTGCTGACTTATGGCCTTCCATGATATGGGCATCTTATTGTGCAACAGGGAGATTTTTCAAAATCACATTTTTAATAAAACATTTATTACATATTACATAGTTAAGTAAAAGGTTGTGTTTTAATTCATGTTTATAAAGCTGTTTAACAAAGAAAAAAAACAGCTGGATTAGTGACTGAAGAAGGCAATTAATGTTAATAACTTAAAACATACATCATCATCAGAGCTCTTGAAATCGCACTACTGCTACAATACAATGTAAATTAGCTGAGCTACTGGTAAACAAGTTGTAAGCTAGTTATCGTCGAACATAATGTTGCACCAAACATGGCCGAGGTGCTGGGCAACTGATACGCTGGTCTTGCCGCAGGCAAGGGTTATAACCAGAGAACACTCCAACACAAGCAAATAAATCCAGTAAGGAGCAGGCAGGAATGTAAAATCCTATAAACAGGCTAAGGCAGAAACAGGGAACCAAGACATAAAGCACACAGCATCATAACCTAAAGGGGCCAGGAACAAAGGAAGTGAACTGATATGTGGTGATTGGTGATTAGGAATGCATTTGGCAAAACGTTTATGTAAACGGAAATGATGGTGTGTTGAACACCCTGTTGTGTCCTATGGCAGATGAGAAGGCTATTCTTTGTGTTTGTTTTGAGTAACTTTTGGAGCCTGATGAAATTGGTTTAAATATGTACATATTTAATACTTCAAAAAATATGCTCAATGTTACAGTCACCGCCTTGCTATCCAGAACAGCAGAGAACATCCCAATCGAGTGAAGGAGAATGTGAAAACTGTTGGATGGGGTTTATATACAAGTCGCTGCTGATAGAGAAAAACACAAGCCTGTTGCACACTGAAGAAACGTGTGGTTCAACCAGAAAACCGCTACAAAACGGCGCACCCTGTCATCAGTTGACTGCAGTGCTGATGAAAATTTGAAAGAGGTGTGTGGATGGGTGGGGCAGTCCGGTGATGGTGATGAAGAGAGCTGGTATAGTCCGAGGACACCTGGTAAAGCTAGAGGATGGCAGGTCTGAGGAGTTGCAGGAAAGTACATGGCCTGGGAGAAGTGAGCAAGGGGCTGAAGACAGCGCCAGAGGGGAACTGAGGAGCAGACTGTGACAATTTCTTACTGTGGTATTATCAAAAAAAGTGTGTGTTGGACAAAAACTCAGAAAATACTGTTTTTCAGGTTTTCTTGTGTTATTAAAGGTTACTCTGTGTAAAAGTCACAATATGGTATTACCTACAATGGCCTTAATACACCATAGTAGTTGCAAGGTGTGTTCCTCCTTCCCTGTTCCTCCCTCCCAAAAGCTGATGACTGACAAAGCAGAGAAAGAGATGAATATGTAACTAAAAAAAACATATGTCTTCAGTGATAACAACAAAGCACTGAATTACACACAATCAATTATATTATACTGTTCTACTGTAAACAGAAAAGTAACTGGTGTATTTTTAAGCTTCATATCGGGAAGAAATCAACAATCTTGCAGAGTGGTGCACAGAGAACAACCTACTGCTCAACATCTGCAAAACCTGAGCTGATCATTGATTTCAGGAAAAAGGGAGATAAAAAGACATACTCCTGTCAACATCAGTGGAGCAGGGGAACAGTTTCAGGTTCCTGGGAATCAGCATCACAGAGAGTGACCTTGTCTAGTGGCCTTTTATTGTGGCCAGCCTAAGGCACACCTGTGCAATCCCCATGCTGTCTGATCAGCATCTTGATATGCCAAACCTGTGGGGTGGATGGATTATCTCGGCAAAGGAGAAGTGCTCACTTACACAGATTTTGACAGATTTGTGAACAATATTTGAGAGAAATAGGCCTTTTGTGTACATAGAGAAAGTCTTAGATCTTTGAGTTCAGCTCATGATGAATGGGGGCAAAAACTAAAGCGTTGCGTTTATAATTTTGTTCAGTGTGTAAACAATGTTCTTTACTTCACAAGGCACAGCCACTCATTAGAGTACCTGGCATATCCAAAGTGTGAATGTAAGAACTTCTACCTCTTTGAGCTTCCTTTGAGCTTGTTACTGGAGAAAAAAGTATATGCAATTAAATATTGTTGATAATATTTCTGGTATATTAATGGTGTGTCTACAGCCGCAAACAGATAAGAATAACAAACATAAAAAAACACACTCACACCATCCCACTTCGTCTACAGTTTAAGGAGTTAAGTCGTTAAGTTGCGGCAGGCGAATGCTAACGAATACACAATTAACTTGGAGGGCGGCCTCCCTCTCCAAAAGGAGGCCCCAACAAAAAGAGGAGATACTTTGTTGGCGACAGGAAGGCAGGCTGAAACACTGGCTTCTGTGTGATGGCAGGAGGGGACGAGGAAGAGGAGGAGATTGAGGGGGAAACAGCCAAAACACTGCGGTGGCATAAGGGGAGGAGTTGTGCTGTAAACAAATACATCACAGCATCCTAGAGCAGCGGCAGGAGGAGGAAGAGGAACAGGGGGAGGAGAACAGATGGAAGAGTAGTAGAAGAAATAAAAGGAGTATTTGGGAGAAAGAGGAAGAGGAGGCAGAGGTTGGAGGGTGCAGTTGAGGATGAACCACTGAATTTATTTGTTGAGAAGAAGCTTCCTCAGAAAGAGAGAGTGGTCTATTGACCTGGATGCATTTGACGTCATCTGATGAAAAACCACAACGTCTGTCCCATTTAAGAGGCTGGATTCGTGCTCTACATTCTGCTCTCAGTAATTCATAATAGGCTGTCCCATTTTAAAGACTCATCTAAGAATTTCATTTGTCTAAATTTAAAGGACACGTTTTATGCATCTTACGCATCCATAAGTTATTTACTGTAATCTCAGGTATTTTAGAGCTTTTGTGGGTTTACCACTGGTACACATTGTCTATGAAAAAGTACATGAACACAGCAAAACACACAACTATTCTTGTGAGTTGCTGGTTCCCAGGAAGACATTAGGGGAAGGAGATCTTAAGAAAGCAATATGAGCAGAAATATTGACTCATACCATTAAAAAACACTGTTGGAGTTAGTTGGAGTGTGCAGGTCTCTCCTCCTTGTTTTTGAATATGATGTTGACTGTGTGTGTATTTGTATAAACAAGTAAAGCAATTCAAGATATGTTTTATGTTTTGGTCAAGGCTAAACTGTTTCCAAGACAAACTGAATAAACCCACAGAAAGCAATGCAGAGCATTAACCAGCTAAGGAAATGTGTGAATGACTGGTGGCTCTGTTCAGTTACAGTAGGTGTGCCAGGAAGCCATGCCAAAGAACCAGTTTGCACAAATGGACAGCATGTATTTTTGGGTCACATGTGGCCATTTTTCTGTTTATATTACAGAGAAAATGTAAATGTATCTAAAAAGTTATTGAATTTCACATTGGGATCACTGTGATATTGAAGCATGTAACACAGAAACTGTCTCAAATTCAGTTTTATTAAGATTATGTCAGAAGAAAGCCTCTACAGTGAGTAGGTATTTTTTTTAGAAGACTATGGAAACACCATGTTTTTAGCCATGCTAGCAGCAATGTCGGTTGTCTATCAGTCCACCACTTTGGTCCAGACTGAAATATCTAAATCATGGATATGTTTTCCCAAGATATTTTGTACAGAGTCATTGAAGACCCACCTAATCCTGGTAGTGGGAAGGCTCCCCCTCCCCTGGCACCAACCTGTGTT